TTTTGTTATCGGCAATACACTGACGGCACCCTCGAAGGCTGTAGCTATTTCTTCGATAATAAAACCCGAATTGTAACCGGACAAATTATGAAAAATATGGGAATGCAAAAAGAGTTTTTATAATTTAGATTACAATTGGAGTGCGCGGGATTCCTGTACCGACCGGTTAGATTGCAATGATCGCGAAGCCTCGTATCGTTTTCTCCAAACGGTTTTTCGCAAATGTGACAATGCGTCGCGTTAGGAAATGACTCCTGCTGTTCGCTCGTTAAATCATCCATTTGTATGTTATTGGATAAAATTGATTTAACAAAATGTGCCAAATTCTTTAATTCTTCGACGAACCAGGAAACACAATTCGCATCACGACGACACTGGTACACCGACAAGGACGAGTCGTACGTGCATTCAACATAATATGCAATACTAAATACTAAATACGGTGAATTTCACCGCCCTTCGAGGTGTGGAAGTGTTCCCTTACGAAGGGTGTTGAAAGGTGGCGAACTGTTCCATCCTTCCAAGGGGTGCCTATGGGGCGCACGGCGTGGGCGTTGGCATTTCCTGGATCAGGAGATTCTAGGGAATGCATTGTGCCCAAATTCGGGACTGAAGACCATAAATTGTGGATTTTGGAGGGGGTGATTTGTTGTGAGGGGTGGGTTTGCCTAAGAGGGATTTTGAGGGGTGTATTTTGTTGAGGGCATCGAGGAGGGTCGCCCCAAAGGTTTTTTTAATTTGATCAACCCCTTCCATCACCCCTGGCCTCTTCAGAAGTGCCGTTTTTTGACGTACTCCTCTTTACGGGGGTAACTTAACCCCTTCCTGTCAACCCTCGCCAATGCAACTTTGCGCACATTTAGAGGACACTTCAAAATTACTCCTCGCGAAGTTTCTCCAAAATCGGTTGAAAACTCCCATAGATATGACGTTTTAAAAAAGTGTCCCTTTAATTTTGTCCGTCAGTGTATATATATATATAAATTCAACTCTCGACGAAATCATCGTGATATCCATCGTTACTAAATTTAACAGAATAGATTTCATTGATTACCAGATATATCAGGGTTTCGAAATTCTTTAATCACTTGTTAGAGCACTTGGCTATCTAGTACCTGGAGGCACGAGCCCTCAATTTCTTTCATTTACTCCAAACATCCGAGCTGAAGTTAAAATTTAGTGTCTATTAAGAGACTAATTTTAACACGGTTACAGACTTTTCAAGAGGAAAGATAAATCTTCCTATTGCCTTTTTGGTGAACTTTCTACGATGATCTCTTCGCATTCTAGAGGCAAGTAAAGTCAAAAGGTCGATTTTTAATACTGAGTTGAATAACTTGAAAAAAGAAAATCGCACAGTAATCAGCAACCACTCATTTTACACATGAAGGTTGCCTCCTTCCATTGGTATAAACGCAATTTGTATAAAGAATTCTGTTCTTCCCATATAACTGTGCAAAGTTGAGCTACATTTTGTAAGGTTGTCAAAGTAGGGTTTGTATAGCCACAATTCTGTCACAAAATGATGCAGTAAAAATATCGAAGAAGCTTCTGAAAGCAGAGATTTGACAGTTTCAAGCGACTAGGATCAGCTTCTGTTCCCCGTGCAGGTCTGAGGGCGATAGGAGGGTTGACCATCTCGAGGTGGGGGCTAGTTCTCCTGGTGGTGAGGTATCAAAGTCCTTTCGGGGTGAAGGACATTACGACCGGCGACTTGGCGTACTTGCGCGAAACCGGCGGTGTGCGGCACGAGGGTACGGGAGGACGTACAATATGGGGGTCCCAATAAAAATACGCGACCTCCGTATTGGCATGGTCGGCAAGTAGGGAGCGAGGCCCTTCCGGGTTCAGGGTGCTCTTATAATGGGCAGAAAAGTCTGCCCCGTCACAATTTATAACTAATAATGTTACGGATAGAACGTAGCAGAAACGTTTAAAAGAATAAAAAAGGAAGGAAAGAGATTTACAGAGGAAACTGGAATACCATGTAGTGTATTAATAATATCTTTCCGAATGGGGAAACGGACGACTTTCGGGTGATGAGGGTCAAAGTCAGTAGTTCGTGGGTTTCGGATGGGTCGGAGAACGCGGCACCCTAGGGCTACAACTTCTGTAGGGATGTGGCAGTAAGCCTTCTTAGGTAAGGCCTCAGGGTTGGATGAGGTACCGAGCAGGGTCATCACCGAGATGGTCAAGTGGAACGTGGGCCTGGTGAGGGCGTCCCTCGAGGGGTGCCTTCGGTACGTCTACGTTCCACAGCGGTGGAGGAACCAGCGATTGGTACTCCTTAGGAAGGAGGGGAAGGACCCTGCTTCCCTGTCGGCTTATCGGCCCCTATGCCTTCTCGGGCACCTTGCGAAGGTATGGGAGAATGTTGTGAAGTTGAGATGGGAGGCGGAGATCGGTCCGAGCGGGCTGTCCCGCCACCAATACGGCTTTCGCTCGGGCCGTAATACGTCCCAGGCGGTGAGGCACGTTCAGATCTTGGCTGATGCCGCGAGAAGGCATTGGCGCTTCTGCGTCCTCGTCGCCTTGGACGTGAAGAACGCTTTCAACTCCATATGTTAAGAGCTCCTGGTGCGCAAGGTCTGCGACAGGGGCATGCCTCTGTACCTTCGCGAGACGGTGAGGGCGTACCTGTCTCACAGAAGGATTTTCTATGAGACGGGCGTTAAGGGGGGGGGGGGG